GGCCCTCCCTCCGAGTGGCACAAGGGGACGCTGCAGCCCCAGCTCGCCCCCAAAAAGCCCAACTGTACAGCCTTACGCAGGGCCTGCTCTGTCCAACCCAAGAGGTGAGCAGGGCCAGCTGGGGCCAGGACCACCCTGGGGGGTCTCTGTCCCTGGGGCGAGGACTAAATGAGTGAGGTGACAATGTAAGAATGGGGGGGGGGGCTCGTGTTTCACAGGAAGTGGAGGGCGTGAGAATCCCTCGGGGGTTCCGTTTCTCCGGGTCCTGGGACCTCGCCTCATTTCGTGGAAAGAATCTAAGTACAGCTGCCTCATGAGGAGATTCACCTCGGATTTGGAGCACACATCAGCACAGCGGTTTCCAAACGCTTCTTAAAAATATACACCAAGACCAAGTGGGATTTATCCCAGGAATTCAAGGCTGGTTTAACATTCAGTAATCAATGAATGTGATGTATACCGTCTTCGTAGAATAAAGGACAAACCCCACACGGTCATCCCAACAGGCCCAGAAAAAGCATATCACAAAGTCCGAAATCTATTCATGACTTAAAAACGAAAGCTCTAGTAGAAAAACATGTATAAAAAGGTATAAGTAGGTAACAACTCTCAACAAACGGAAGGCGGGGGGAAGTCCACCTGCTCCGCAAATGGGCAGCAGGGGCTGTGGGTGAAGGGCTGCACACAGGCGTGCGGTTTTCACGCGGCGGCCCACCCCGCGGCGAAGCGGCACCCGAGGGCGGAGGCGGGAGCCGAGCGCGGCTGCAGAGCACGGGGAAACCGCTGCTGGCAGCATTAGAAACCCGCCCGCTCAGAGGAGAAGCCTGCTCACTCCCTCGGCTTTTCCTCCAAGCGAAGAAGTTTCCAGACCAAATAAGGCTGCAGCTTCTGCAATGCTCCTGGCACAGGACGCAATTCCTTTTAAGTGCCAGGTTACAGCTCGGGCCCCAAACGGCACAGTGCCCATCAGCCCGCTAATCCCTCTGGGGAAGGCTCCAAACAAACCCAGGTGGACACGCGCGGGCCGCTGGCTGCTGACCCCCGCCCACCGGCAGGCCGCGAGGACCAGCCCTGCAGCTCAGAGGAGGCCCGGCGCCCACGGTGCCCACACAAGGGGCAGGACTCCCAAACCAGCCATTCCTGTGGGCGGCCAACCAGCCCCTGGGGCCTCAGTGCCCTGCTTGCTGAGCCCGTGGGAGCCACAGGGTGTCGCTGCAGCTCTGCCCGGGGGAGGGACAGCGGGCTTTCTGAGCACTGATGCACCAGGCGCCGTCTCAGGGCATCTCATCTCCCCATTTTACAGATGGGGAAACTGAGGCACAAGGCCATGCAAGCACAAGGTAAATCTGGGGTGGACGCCAGGGCTGACAGGCATAAAGCCAGGGCCCCGTGCTGTGCCTGGCCCCACCCCGAAAGCAAACGCAGGGCCCCAGCCTTGGCGCCTCTGCAGCGGACCGGAGGCATGCCCACTGCGCGGGAACCCTCGGCTCCTGGCAGGTCGCCAGTGGTCACACTTGCTGGCTGGGGAGATGGCTGGCTGGGGATGTTTTTCCCTTTTTTTGGCTCCCTATCCAGGCCAACTGGAGGACATTTTTCAAGCAACCAGCCACAAACATTTTCCTAACAAGGGCCCTCTGGATGAGAAATGGAACCTCTTTGCATTGCGATCGTCCACTCTGACATTTTAACGACACGTCAAAATGGGCTGGAGCCCTGGCCGGTTTGGCTTAGTGGTTAGAGAATTGGCTTGTGGTCCAGAGAGACCGGGGTTCGGTTCCTGTTGAGGGTGTGTGCCTTGGTTGCAGTTTGTCCCTGGCCCTGGTTGGGTTGTGCGGGTGGCAGCCATTCAATGTGTCCCTTTCACGTCGATCTCTCTCTCTCTCTCCCCCCCTCCCTCCTTCCCACTCTATCTGAACAAGCAATGGAGAAGTGTCCTCGGGTGAGGATAAAAAATATATATAGATATGGGCTGGAGTGAGGTCGGGGGTGGAGGGGTGAGGGCTCCGTTTGGAGCCCCGCAGGCCAACACTGTGCCAGGTACCGGCGCGGAGCCCAACCCGGACCCAGGCCGGCGCACGACGCTGCACAGCTGGGAGGGGACTGCTCCCACGCTCGCTCGCTGCAGAGGAGCACACAGGCCGGAGAGGGAAGGGACTTCCTGCATTCAGACTCGGGGTTTCCCATTCTGAGCCCTGCCAGCAGCCCAGCCCCGCCTTCTCCTCTGACCTCCTCCTGGCAGAAGAGCCCATGGGGAAAGCACGTGGGTGAAGGTGCAGGGCCTGATCTTTCTCACTGAGGACAGGTGCATGGATTCGGCACTGCCCGCCATGCTGGGACGGGCATACCCAGTGTTATGGGGACACGGGCACAATGGGCCAGCAAAGACCCTTTTAGCTGCACTGACAGAAACCCAAGGCGGCCTTTCTTCAGCTGAAAAGGGGGCTTATTAGTGTGGGACACTGGGAAGAATGGTGTGGGGGTCAGGTGTGGCTGGATCCAGGTGCTCAGACCATGTGATCGGGTTATTCCCTCGCTCCCATTTCTGGCCGTTTCTGCGCTGGCCTCCTCCCTCAGACAGGCTTCTCTACAAAGCAGGGAGGTAGCTGCCGGCCCCCCACAGTGGGAAACAAGCCAACATTTTTCTTTCAGCATCTGGGTGTGGACCTCAGGGTGGAACCCCAACGAACCCTGTTTAGATTATGGCGCATCCTTGGCCCTGGCCTCCCTGTGGCCAGGGGATGGAGCTTTGCCACCACAAAGACGAAGATAAAACAAGCCCCGAGCAGGCAAACGGCTGCCGCTGTGCACCCAGCAACCACGACATCAGACCCGTCTCACTGCCTTAGCCACCTGCTCACGTCTGCCACCAGCCACGGGTCCTCGGGGGGCGGGCACTCAGCTGACCACCTGCAGCCCTCTGGCCACGCCTGCACGCAGGGCTCTGCTCACACGTCACCCGGTGGGCGGTGTGGCTCTGAGACACTGCAGTGGGGCCGTGCCCTCCCCTCCCCACAGTCCAGCCCTGGACCCCTGACAGGAGCAAAGGGTGGCCAGTCCGCAAGGGGGAGAGCAGCCGTGGTGGCACAGGGGCACCGGCCTGGGCGGCGTGATGGGGTCACCGCGAGCGGGTGGCACAGGGGCACCGGCCTGGGCGGCGTGATGGGGTCCCCGCGAGAGGGTGGCACAGGGGCACCGGCCTGGGCGGCGTGATGGGGTCCCCGCGAGCGGGTGGCACAGGGGCACCGGCCTGGGCGGCGTGATGGGGTCCCCGCGAGAGGGTGGCACAGAGGGCACCGGCCTGGGCGGCGTGATGGGGTCCCCGCGAGAGGGTGGCACAGAGGGCACCGGCCTGGACGGCGGGATGGGGTCCCACGCGAGAGGGTGGCAGACAGGGGGGCACCGGCCTGGCGGCGTGATGGGGTCCCCGCGAGAGGGTGGCACAGAGGGCACCGGCCTGGGCGGCGTGATGGGGTCCCCGCGAGAGGGTGGCACAGAGGGCACCGGCCTGGGCGGCGTGATGGGGTCCCCGCGAGAGGGTGGCACAGGGGGCACCGGCCTGGGCGGCGTGATGGGGTCCCCGCAAGCGGGCAGCCCAGCGCTAACAACAGCAGAGATCCGAGTGCCAGCTGGCATGGGGACACGGGAGCTGTGCACACCGGGCTGAGAGCGCCTGGCAGGCGCCCTGGACACCGGCCAGGGAGGCTGAGCTCCCGAGGCCACGGAACCTGAGTGCACTTGAGGAGGGCCTGGGAGGGGAGGGCGGCAGAGGGCACCCCTAAGTCAGACCTGGGCTGTGCGGGTGAGGGAGGCAGAGCTGTGACGCGGGGCAGACCCCAGCCCCAGGGCAGAGGCCCCTCGCAGCACCCCATGGAGCTGCCCTGGTTCCTCCCCGGGTTACAGCCCCAAACTTGCCCCTTTCGGACCTTTACCCCAGGTGGAGAAGTTGAACAAAACAGGAAGTGCTTCCTCCCACGCGTCACCCGTGAACAGGACAAGGGCCCCCCAGCAGTGACCCTGTGCCCGCCGGCTCGGGACGCCCAGGATTGGGAGCACACGCCCCTCACCCCGCCCCCCGACCTCGGGAAGTGAGCGGGGGCAGGACGCTGTCCGACACATTGGGGTGCTGGCAGCGCACACCTTTAATGTTCACGTAAGTCATCCCTTTGAAACAAACAAAACTCGAGCTGAAACAACACATCCATCTGAGGTTCTCTTAAATAAAGCAGTCAGCAGAGCCAACGGGGAGCCCTTCTGAGGTCCTGGCTTTGTGCGTGCTAGCGATGCCAAGGGCCCCCGGAAACAGCCACTGAAGCCGGTCCCCAACCCAGCACGGAGGAAGGGCTACTGGGGCCTGGGAGCCTTGGTGAACTGCACCCAGCGAGACCCTCCAGACTTCCCGGGAGCCGGGAGCGGCCAGAGCTGCGCCTGCCGCCCTGCAGGGCCGGGGGCACTGCGGCCACCAGGGACAGAAGACAGGCAGAAAAGGCACAGCTCCGCCCGAGGCGAGCAGCCACGGGGTCGTGCAGGAGACATGCTCGCGCTGGCAGGGGCGTCTCAAGTGCACCGGCTGGGTTTCCAGGGCCTCACCCCGAGGGGCTGCAAGCTGGCCAGCCCCAGCCGTGGAAGGGCCCAGGCGCACCTCCCAGGGAACAGAGCCCTCCGTCCCTCGTGGCAGCACCCCAAACTTCAGGCGCTGAAAGCTCGGTTTTGACCGGGAGGGAAGGAGGCTGGGAAGGGTCTGGCAGGGTGAGGAAGAGGACGGGCGTTCCAGGCCCCCAGCAGACGCCAGAGAAACCCCGACAGGCACTGCGGGCCCCTGGCACCCTCCGCCGCGCCTGCCGTCTTGGAGCAGCTCAGGGCCGGTCCGAGAGCCGCCCCCCTCCCGGCAGCCCGCGCTCCACAGCCCTGGCACAGGCGGCCTGGGCTTGGCTGCACCTTCACCAGGAGCCGCCCAAGGAACAGAGCGCCCAGGGCACAGCCCCACCCGCCCCGCACCCGTGTTCTGAAAGACGAGTTCTGGGGTCGCGTGTGAGGACCCCATCACTTCTCCTTCTCCTTCTTCTTGCTCTTCCTCTGGCTGGTCAGCTCGTCCAGCTTCTTATCCAGCCTCCTCTGGAGCTGGGCCCTCTTGGCGGGGTCCAGGGACCTGTCCTTGGTCCCACTGCCAGCGTAGAGGACTCCTTCCCGGCTGATTCTCTGCCGGGCATGGGCGTGAGCCCTCTCCCCGCAGCCGTGGATCTGGGGGGACAGGGGAGTGGGTGGGGGGCATGAGCACAGACCCTGCAGCTCCGCCCATCGCGGATCCTTCACCCCAGGCTCTCTTCCCTGCACCACCCACACCCCGCCTCCCTGATGGGGCGACACAACTTCACAGGGGTCACACAGGAGCGCAGGGCCCACCTGCGGCCGTGCTCAGAGCGAGATTTCGTCTCTGGGCAACTCTACTCCTCACAGGGCCCATCGCTGGGCCGAAGGCAGGTCCCCCAGTGCACAGCACCAGGGCGGGCGTCTGTCCCGGTGGGACTCTGCCTCACTCCTCCAGTGTGTGTGTGGGGGGGTACACCGAGGGGTGCCGCAGGGAGAGGCGGTACACAGGGCAGGGGCACCTTCTAGAAGGGGAGGAGCCACTGGACGCAGGCCCAGCACCAGAGCTGTGCTTCCTGCCGCATCAAGGAAGGGCACTTCCTTGGGGAGCGCGGGGACCCCCGTTTGGACCCGGTAAGGTCCCAGGGCAGACAGCAGGGAGACTCGCGCAGATGCTGCGGGCACAGCAGCGGGTCCCCGGGCTCTCGCTGTCTCGCCCAGAGCTGCAGAAGCGCCCAGGGCTCAGCCAGTCCCACCGGAGCCCGAGCCATGTGCCTCGGCACCCTGGCCACCCCTCAGCTCCGACTCTCACCACTGCCCCACACTCCCCTGCAGCTGCCCAGCCCAGAGCCCCACCCTCCACCTGTTAGGTCTCGGCCTCAGGAAGCTGCTCGGTCCCTGCTGCCGGCGGTCCCAGGAGCCCCGGGTGCATGGTGCCATGGGCTGCTCTCTTACCCTGGCCCCCGCCAGGCCCAGTGCCCCCGTTCCTGCCCCGTCACCCCCACTCCCCACACTGGCAGAGGAGGTTCCTGTCACGCAGGCTCACGGAACGAAGGAAAAGCAGCGGTCTGAGGCCCGGAGACCCCACCTCCCACCGAGCCGAGCGAGAGCCCAAGGCCCCTGCACCGCCCAGAACCCGCGCCGGCAGTGACGGGCAGGTAGGGTCTTCTCGTACCCGTGCCGAAGGGCACCGAACGCCGCGAGCTGGTGCCTGCTGCTCGCTGCTCGCAGGACACACCCTTTCAGGGTTTAGAGCTCAGGACCCGCTCCGTCCCGGGAGCACGGCTGCCCGGATCAGCCTGGGGACGAAGCCCCGCGCCCCTCCCGCCCCCACCCCCGGGGGGCCGGCGTACCTCGGGCAGGCAATGGCTGAGGCAGTAGCGGCGGCCGCAGTGTGGGCAGAGCGGGCCCAGAGTGGCGACGCTGGCCCTGCACTTGGCAAGGCCACAGGTGTTATCGGCCTTCACAGCGGCAGAGACCAGGGCGTCGAAGTCCTCCGCGGCGGGCAGGTCTAGGGCCGCCGGTCCTGGGGAGAACAGCGTCCCTCACGTCGGGAAGAGCAGAGCCGGACAGGAAGTCTCCTGCTGGGCCAGCTCCCTGTTCTGGGGCTCGGCGACAAGCCAGTGCAGGCCATCGGCCCCCCTGCGCTCGGTGCGCACCCCTCCCAGGGCTGCCGACCTCTGGAGGCGCGAGCTCGCAGCGTCCTCGGAGGGCCCGGTGCGTGCCGAGTGCCTCTGAAACGCTCGTCCCCTTTAACCCAGAAAACGCTGTTATGGGGACGTCCCTTACGACATCAACCAGGAAAATAAAACCCGAACACACTGAGCTGCCACAGACTGGGGTGCATTCGCGGCACAAGGCCAGGGGACCTCAATGTCTGAAGCAGTGCGCGGGGACCCCCGTTGCAGTAGGACGCTCCTGAGTGGGGGAGACACAGGACTACCGGCGGCTGCGGTTCTGGGCGCAGACAGACGCACAGGAAGTGGTGGGAGGCATTGCCCAGGCAGCTGGTGCCGCTATCTGAGCGCTGGGCACGGGCAGGACGCCCCCGCGTGCTCTGTAACGGGCGCCCCACGTGCTCAGCACTCAGGGCGGCGTGGCTGGCTGCGCACGGCTCGCCTGTCCTGCAGGACCGCACGCACACCACGTGCCCCGGCCCTCCCAGCATGGCAGGCAGGGCACACGCAGGCAGGGTCCACGCAGGCAGGGCGCACGCAGGCAGGGCGCACGCAGGCAGGGCGCACGCAGGCCGGGCCCACGCAGGCAGGGCGCACGCAAGCAGGGCCCACGCAGGCAGGGCCCACGCAGGCAGGGCGCACGCAGGCAGGGTCCACGCAGGCAGGGTCCACGCAGGCAGGGCCCACGCAGGCAGGGCCCCTGGCCAGCCCCGAAGGCCAGCGCGGGCTGGCCTCTCGTCGGCTGCCGGGGCCTGGGCACAGGTCCTGCTCGGAGCTGGAGTGACGAGGCGGGTTCTGGACACTTCAAGCACCAGGTGGCACCGCAGCCCTGAAAGGGGGCGGAGTCCCTCCAGGACACTGTCCTCCGGGGACCACGTCACACGCCACCTCCCAGAAGGAAGGCCAGTCCTCGGTCACACTCTCCTGTGCCACCCTCTGTGGCTCTTGCCTTGCTCTCAGCAGTTTACAGAAGCTCAACGTCGGCCCCTGGAGGGCGGGTGACGTCCGTCTCGCTCACTAGCAGAGCCCGGCGCGCAGCAGCTGCTCACTAAACACTACGGAGTGAATTTAGCTGAAGCCTGGGGCACAGGGGCGGACGTCAGAAACCATGAGCCACGCTTGTGCAGCTTCGCCCACGGGGACTCTGACAATCAGGGGAATGTGAACAGCTCCCCAGAACTCTCCAGAAAATCCAGGCTGCGCCAGGCCTTCAAGCTCTGTGCCCGTGGACACCCGATCACAGTGCAGGACGGGGACAGAGCCCACAGCCCACAGGGTGCCCAGGGCCTGGCAGCTTGCGCAGGACGTAAAGGCAGAGTGAGCAGGAGCCCGGCTGCCACAGCAGAGGCTGGGCCTCTCCCACTGCCCAGCGGACTGCTGCCAACATCCGCCTGCTGCCCCTGCCCGGCCCTGCCCGGCCCTGCCATGAGCGACCCCCTCCTGCCAGCCCCTCAGCTCTGGGGCCTCCAGGGTCGCCGGGACCTGTCACCACCTCAGGGCCCCACCAGAGGAAGCCCAGTTCTTTCTGAGGGCGGCAGGTGCAGTACCAGTGGGGCCGACAGCCCGTTGGGGAGCCGCCAAGCCCGCGTTCTCACTGGTCGACCCGACTCACCTTTCGCGTCTTTCTTCTTTCTCTTCTCTGACGACTTCCGCAGCGCCGGGCCCGCGGCCTGGGGCCCCCCCTTGGCTTGCAGCTCCTGCCTGCCCCTCCCCCTCTGCGGTCTCTCCAGCTGCACAGGCCTCAGGGCCAGGCCGCTCAGCTCTCGCACGGGGGGCTGCACCTGCGCAGGGCTGGGGGGCTCGGGACAGAGAGGGGCTTGGCTGTCAGCCCCTGTGGGGGGCGGCGGGGCTGGTGGGGCCTGCACGGCTGGTGTGGCCGACACGGCCTCAGTGGCTGGCGTGGCCGTGGCCTGCGTGGCCAGCGGGGCCCTCTTGCTCACAGTTATGAATCTGTTCTGCCCCTCGCCGGCACTGTCGTGCCTCAGCCCGTGCTCTTCGGCTATCTGGTGGACACGCATCCTGTCGTGAGAGTTCAGGGAGGAGGGAAATTCCAGGCGCGTTTGCTCACTCGCCACAAACTCGAGGATCAGGGCCCTGAAGTGGTCGGCGCTGTCTCTGCTCTTCGCTCCCGCTGGGCTGCCTCCGTTGAGGCCGGGCTGAGACTGGACCTCAGAGCCCGGAGGCTTCCCGCGCGACGCCCTCTGGGCCTGCCTGGCAGCCGCTCTGGCCGCCGGGGCTCCCTCTGGCTGCCTGCTTCCAGGCTTCCTGGTGGACGTGGCAGAGCCGGGGGGCTTCACAGCAGCCTGGACGTGGCCCTGGGAACTCTCGTGGGAGTAGTTTTCAGGGACGATGTCGTCAAGATACTCAAAGGCCGTGCGCACCTCCCCGTGCTCCGTGAAGTAGTCCACCAGGGTCTTCAGGAAGGGGTGGCTGCTGACTGTGCGAGAGTCGCAGACCACGGCCACGTGGCGCCGGGCACGGGTGATGGCGACGTTGATCCGTCGGTCCTCGGCCAGGAAACCCACTTCACCTAAAACGAGGCAGGTAAGCGGGCGAGTGGATCTAAGACTGAGGAACAGGGTGTCAGACCCCCTGACCTACCTAAGGAAGGTCAGCTCCAGGCTCACCATCACCCACCGCCTCGTCTCCGGCCCCCCAACCTGCCCGCCTGCAGCGAGCCTGCCGACACCCCAGTCTTCAGCAGGGCTGGACGGTGCCTGGCTCGTGTAGTAGCTCTCGTTTCCAGGTGAGTACACACGCTCCTCCCCAAGCAGACCCGGCCGGCTGGGGCGCGGGCGTGACCAGCACAGGAGGGGGCGCAGGGCTCTGCGGCATCTCCCCTTTCCCACCAGGCTAGCCCACCTCCCACCTGCTTCCAGTCTTCCACTGAAAACGCTTTACAAAGTCCACCAGCTAAAAAGCTTTTTGGGCTCAGCTTCCTCAGCTAACGGAATGTCCACAGCTCCCCTGGCGTGGACACCGTGCGGGGGCGGGTTTGGCCTGGAGGCCGAAAGGTGAGCCCTGGGCTTCGGGGGCGCCGCCTCCCAGCCCTGGGCTTCAGGGGTGCCGTCTCCCAGCCCTGGGCTTCGGGGGTGCCGCCTCCCAGCCCTGGGCTTCGGGGGCACCGCCTCCGCGGCGCTGTCGGGGCTGCCGACCCAGCTCCCAGCCCGGCACCCACCCGCCCGCCCGTGCCCTAAGCGTCCACACTGTTCCCTCTGCAGGACACCCTTCCCCCCCGGGCTGCTCTCCCCGCGGGCTCTTGGTTCGGCCCCGTCTCACCTCGCAGCGTGCGCTCGCGCCGGACGGTCTGTGCCCACGACCACGCTCCCAGTGACCGGCACGGCCCCTCGGCAGTCCAGCCTGCCCTCCGGATAAACACTCAGTCCCAGGACCCTGCGAGCGCCCGTACCTGTCCGGTTGGACCTGACGAAGGACAGCACCACGGCCTCCTTCTCGCGGCCTTGGAAGCCGTCGACCGACTTGATCTCGAGCTCTGGGTGCCTGTGAGCGAGGCTCTGCCTGAGCAGGTCCACCTGGAACAGGAGCGGGCGGCGGCCTCAGCACACCCAGGCCCGCAGCCCCCCGCCCTTCCCGCAGGCGTGCGAATGGACGGAGCAGCCTGTCACACAGCAGGCGGGGCGGCCGGCTCCGAACCCCAGGCCCTGCAGCAGGCCCCTCTGTCCTGCCAGAGCAGCAGGCTCCGCCCCTCAGCACAGACACTGGGAGGCGAACCGCGAACAAACCGGAGGGCAAGGGACAGTGGTTGTTGCCCCTGCAGGGACAGCCGGGGCCCCCGTTTCCCTTCGGAAACCACACACTCCCACGCCGTCCCCGGGCGTCCCGGAGATGGTGACGGCAACTGGCCCAGGCAGGGGTCAGCCTGAGGCAGAGCAGCAAGGCCGAGAACAGGTTCTCGTGGGAAATGCGACAGGACTGCTGTCCCCAGGGACTGCCGGTGCCAGGGCGTCAGCCTGAGGGCGCCGGACGCGGGCAAGCTGGCCGGGATCTGACACCAACACCTGGGAGCAGCAGGAAGGTCGGGTGGGCAGGGGATGACAGAGTGTGAGACGGACGGATGGACAGATGGACAGATGGAGGCTCCTGCTCACGTCATCTGAGCCGAAATCCAGACGTGGTGTGTCCACTCCGCCCCGGAGTTTTCGGGCACGAAAACCAATAACGGCCCTTTCCTTTCAGCACTGAGGGGGGACGGGGAGTGCCTCTCGCGCCCACCTGGAGGTTGTAGGGCGTGATGACAGCAATGTCCCTCGCCTGGACACCGGCGTCCACCAGAGCCTGGACGTGCAAGCTGACGAGGCGCACCTCACCTGCAGGGGACAGAGAGGCTTCCAGGACGCGGGCCGGCTCCCCGAGGTCAGGCGTGCTTCTCCGGCACGTCTGTCTCACGAGGACACTGTCTCCCGACAGTGCATGGCCCTGGGAGCTCACGCCCGAGGCAGCGTCGCCAGCTCCGCAGAGGGACGGGCCCCGCCACGTGAAGGCCAGAACGACAAGCACTCGCTCAGGGTCAGGGTCAGGGTCAGGGTCAGGGTCATGGCCACGTGTCCCGGAGGGCAGCCCCGTGAGGGGGACGAGCCGGCTCCTGCAGGCCGAGCCAGGACCTCGTCTGCAGACCAGCCGGGCAGCACTGGCCGCTCTGCTCGGAAAAAGACAAAGCCCTGCCCAGGCCACTGGCTGCCTCGAGCCCGTGCTGCTCGCTCGTGCAGAAGAGCGTCGGCGAGCTCAGCCTCGGCCCCCAGCTGCCACGGCTGCTCAGGCCGTGCGCGCCTCCACTCCCCGGGCAACCCAGCGGCTGTGTGGAGGAGCCCAGGTCTGTGTGGACAGAGGGCTGGCCCTCCCCAGCGAGCTCACCGGGGTTGCCCTTGGACTGGTCGTCCTCCTCCAGCTCAGACAGCCCACAGCCGGCCGTGTCCACCAGCAGCAGGGGAAGGCACGTCTCCTCCGTGGCAGCCACTCCCGGGAGGTCCCTGCACACAGGGGGAGATGGCGCAGGTGAGGCCCCAGCACAGGGGCCCTAACTCCAGACCCGCACGGCCCTTCCTCCCCTCAGCCCCTCCCGCAGGAAAGTGGGGCACCACCCTGTCAACACAATGGGTGGGCAGGACGCACCCGGACTGGAGCACCCCACATCCAGCTCAGGGCCAGGCCGCCCTCCTTCCAGAAGGCCGCCCTTGGGGCGACTCACTCTCAGGTCTGTACAGACCCCGGTGGGGCCGCCGCGCCCCCCGCGGAACAGGGGCTGTGGGGACGCGGCGGGGCCGCAGCGCTCACCGCAGCAGGCGCTCCGCCACGGAGGGGTGCGCCGTGAGCTGCCCGTGGTACAGGGCCTGCGAGGCCCACTGCATGATGGCCCGGTGCATGCGGTACTGCACCGTCAGCGCCCGCACCGAGCCCACGCCGAAGCCCTCCGCCAGGCGCTCCATCAGGCTCAGCGACAGCCCGGCCAGCGCAGCCCTGCACACAAGAGGACAGAACTGGGAGGGAGGCCTGCGTCCGAGGCAGCTTGAGGCCAGGGGCCAGGGGGAGAGCTGTCCTCCGACCTCGAACCCGACTCATTCCCCACCTCTCACCTAACACTAAGGGGGTGGTCAGCTGAACAACGGCCCGAGATCCACGCCCCAGCCCTGGGACCTGGGAATGCGTGACAGTGGGGACCCTGCGGATGTGACCGAGCTCAGGGCCCGAGATGGGAGCTGACCCTGGACTGTCCAGGGCACAATGTCATCACTGGGTCCTCACGCGAGGAGCACAGGTCCCAGTCGGGACGACACGTGACGAGAGAACGGAAACAGCGCCAGGGCTGGCGGTGAAGGTGGGAGGGCCTGGCAGGTCCGCGCCCGCTGCCGCGAGGACGCGTTAGCAGCAGAGTGGCCGCAATAAGGGACCTGAGCGTGACCGGGAGGCCAAGCACACAGGGCGGTCAGGGAGACCACCAGTCTGCGCTCGGTCCCTGCACCAGAGGACACTCCCTGCAGGCAGGACAGATGTGCTACGTCGCTCTGTGCCCCTGCGGGAGGAGTGCACGGACCAGGCCTCGGGACCCCCGCGGGCTGTGCGCTCACCAACCCTGAGCGAGGGCAACTGGCACAGCCCACAGGAGTAGGTGCGTGTGCACGTCGATCCCACGACCCACCGGGGCGTTCAATCCACAGGCACAGCTGAGCATGGGGCCAGGTTCCAAGGCCACCAAGAGGACCGTGACACGACCCCTGAGCAGGCGCACGGTCTGAGAGATGGGACATCGTGACTCAGTGTGGAGGACGCCATGTCCAGGGCCACCTGAGCCCGGGACTTCTGGGCCGGCCCTCGAGGGACAGGAAAAGGGGCACCGAGGGGCCGGGGCGCTCGGCAGAGGGTCTTACTTGGCAGAGACGATGGTGGGGGGCAGCTGCCTGTGATCCCCGGCCAGGACGCACTTCCCGGCCCTGAGCAGGGGGACCCAGCAGCTGGCCTCCAGGGCCTGGGCGCACTCGTCGATGACCACCATGTCGAAGTAGCCGTCAGGCAGCAGCTTCAGGGGGCCGTCGGAAGAAGCCCCTGGTTGAAGCCGAAACCACAAGTGTTTGGAGCAGCTCGATCACGCGGCACCGTGCTGCAGCCGACACCGGGCAGAGCCGGCGCTCCGGACCCAGGCTGCAGTCAGAGCTGTGACAGCCCAGCGGCGGCTCAGTGGGCTGGGCGTTGCCCTGTGCACCGAAAAGTCGCCGGTTCCATTCCCAGCCAGGGTGCATGCCCCGTTGCGGGCTCAATCCCTGGTAGGGGATGTGCAAGAGGCAGCCAATCGATGTTTCTCTCTTTCTCTAAATCTCAATTTTAAAAAGCATTTAAAAAAAAAAAAAAAAACTATGTGGAATAAACATGCAGCTTAGAATAAAAACTGAGCAAGGACATTCTAAGACCCCCAGTTCCTGCCCCATGTTCACCGGTGAGACAGTGTGTCCCCAGCCGTGGGCCACTCCGATGAGTCAGTCACCAAAACCTACCACCCCTTTGGACCTGCAACCCACGTCCTTGGAAGGCTATCTTATTTCTGAATGTCGTTCCTGTGTCGTTTTCTGAATTTAGAATGTAGTTAACTCTCCTCTCAGGACAATTAACTGCTGAGCGAACACCCAGAGATAAAACCTCAAGCATCTGACCGCACAAGCCGGAGCACCTGCCACGCGCGCCTCCTGCACAGGGTCCGAGCGCGGGCGAGCCACCCCCCAGCCTGCTCCTCATCTTCAGAATGATAACAGAAATGAATGCATTTTAAAATAGTAGCAATAACAGTAAGATTTTATGAACACCATTATGCCCCTAAATTCACAACTTTGATTAAACGGGCAAATTCCTTCAAAATTGCAAGTCCACTCAAGAAGAAAAAATCTGAATCTTTGCATCAGTTAAAGGAACCAAGTTTGGCCCGGCTGGTGTGGCTCAGTGGCTGCACCAAGAGATCGCCGGTTCGATTTCCGGTCAGGACACATGCCCAGGGTGCGGGCCCAATCCCCAGTGGGGGCATGCAGGAGGCGGCCAGTCGATGTTCTCTCTCATCGATGTTTCTATCTCTCTCCCTCTCCCTTCCTCTCTCTCTAAAATCAATAAAGAAAAAAAGATTTTTTAAAAAGAAATCAAGTTTGCAGTTAAAAACCCCAAGCCCAGAGGCTCCACTGGTGACTTCTACCAAACCCCCCAGACTGAAGGAGGGGCGTCGAGGCCAGCGGGGGGCGGGGGGACACCTCCCTTACCTGTGTTTGTCGCCAGGACCACCTCGGCCCACATGAGGCTTTGCAGCATCGTGGCTTCTTCCCGCTCCTTCAGTTCCTTCCTCAGCAGCCTGATCTCGTTTCGAAAATTACTTTTCTCTCTCTTGTCCTGGGTCTTCTTAATTTTCACCTACAAAGGGAAGGAAAGAAAATATAATCATTTTGACACAGCTTTGCACTTATTTAGCTTTTAGTTCACAGAGTGTTTCTATTTATCATCACTTGGTCCACTTCACTAAGTTCCTTAAAAGGCGCTAAAAAGTCACACTTGCCCGACCCGTCTGGCTCAGCAGGTGCTCAGCAGGTGCGCGGCGGCCCGCGGACCAGAGTCGCGGGTTCGAGTCCAGTCAGGGGCACGTACCTCGGCTGCAGTTTGATCCCCGGCCCTGGTTGGGGTCGTGGGGAGGCAGCCAGTCAACGTGTCTCTCTCACATCGATGTTTCTCTCTTTCTCCCCTGCTCCCTCCCACTCTATCTGAAAATCAATGGAAAAATGTCCGCAGGTGAGGATTTAAAAAAAAGTCACCCTTTCTTGAAGGAGCAGCAGATACGCACAGGTGACTAAGCACCTGGCTCCTCCGGGCCTCACAGCCAGAGTCCCGCCCAGGAGGGCTGGCGGGCGGCTGGGTCCCTGGAGCAGAAGGCTTGGGACGGGGGGCACCTGCCCACCTTCAGTTTAGAGGTGGAGCCCCACTTCCCAGTCCACATCTGTCAAGGTTAAAAATTCTGTGTGGCCCATAAAGTGGTCACCTAAACCCCGACTTTCTTTAACACTCAAGTACTGCGTACCCCTTCCCCCCTGTGGTCCTGCTCTGGAGGGTGGGGCTCGGCAGGAGTGGCCACTGTGCCTGACTCAAGCAGACGATCCGGGAGCATGACCAACCGGGGCAGGTCAGGCACCCGTGCATGACGGACGCACCTGCAGAGCCCTGCACGCCCCCAGCGCCGAGGGGCTGCGCGGACCCTGTCCCCGCCCTGCCGCCCCCATGCTGGCCACTGCAAGCCAGCCGCTGCTCCGCAGGCCAGGACCCCGAGGAGCGCCAGCGGCCGCGGGGAGACCAGCAGAAGGTCAGCACACAGGGGGACATTTAAGGAAACCGGGGCCAATACGGGAGCTGGGGAACCAGAGGGCTTGAAGTACCAGCGACAAGAGAAAATGCCCTCTCAAACTGACCTCCGCCCACCCCATCCTCCTCCACGAGGATCATGCTAAATGGACGGAGAAATTGGGGAGGATGAGTATTTTCTGCACTTTAATTTCCGGGTTTTTCTTTGCTCACCAGTAGCACCCAGACAACGCCAGCGTAAGAGCCGTGTTTGAAGACGACCCCTCGGCTGCTCATGAGCCGCCCTGAAGACAGCTGCGCCCCGTTAGGTGCTCAGTGCAGGTCCCCACCGAGGCCGGCAGCCCCGACGCTGGGAACTATTCGCTGAACCAGCGAGGCCACGGAGAGCAAGGGGAACACAGGCAGACAGCGTGGGCCTTGAAGACCGGCAGCTCGGAAAACCACCTGCGAAGTGGGCACCCGCTGAGACACGTACGGAGACCTGGTCGATGTCCTTCCGGATGTCCGCCACGATCTGCGCGCCGTCGCCGCGGGCCAGCACCGCGTCCAGCGAGTGCTGCTGGATGGACTCCAGCAGCCGGGCGGGGTGCCCGAGCCGCAGCGCCCTCCGCCCGCAGCGCGCCAGGTGCTCCACCAGGTTGTCCACGGCGATGTTGGAGGGCGCGCAGCACAGCACCTGGGGAGCAGACTCAGTCGGTTCCAGTTCGTGCTCCAGGCTTGCACCGCCGCAGCCTCACGGGGAGAGGTGAGGGCAGACGACGTGTGCGGGCGGAGACCACAGCTGTGGGGTGGGGACGGCCTCGAGGTCCTGAGTTACTGCAGATGGCCACAGAGTCTGGACAAGAACTCAGGTCCCCCAGGCACCAGAAGGGCTGAGTGCCTCTCACTGGAAAGGACGGGACTCGGAGGCCCTGAAACAACCAGGCTGGGACACCACCTCATCACCAGCACGTCCCTCTGTCACCTCACAAGTGGACCAGGGGGAGCTCCGAACGGGCTCCATCCCGAACTGCAGTCCCACCGTTAGAGGCAGGAGGCAGAGGAGGCAGAGGGGAGAGTCCCTCTCCACGTCAATGCCAAGGGCAGGGGCCGAGGCCGGCCCCCCAGGTCCTGGCACCGCCACCCCCACCGAGGTGGCCAAAGGCACACCTGTGCGAGTGTGGAGACTGGGAATCCTCTTCCACGTATGAAGACGGAAGGCAGCCAGCGAACCCACCGAATCTGCCTCCGGCCCTCAGTCCCTTTACAAGCTCCAAGCGTCTGTGCCTCCACATTCATTGCAGGAAACCAAGGGGCAGCTCTGTGACCGAGCGCCAGCTGCCCCGGGCTCTCCGCCACAGCGGCTCTGCCCCTGGCCGCTGAGGCCTGCGCCCGTGGCCCTGCTTGTTTCCTCGGTCAAGTGGGGCCACCGCGGGCCCGGGCTTCGGTCAGGACTCAATGAGGGGACGCGCAGCAAGCACGCAGGGCGCTGGTCTGCTAAAGCACCCAGTGAACGTCGACCCACAAACACGACAATTCACTCTTCCAACTATCGTGACCCGACACCTACAAACTGAAAGGGTTCTTTCTCAAGCTTTCCCTGTGCTCAAAACCCACGACGACTCGTGGTGCTAACAGGACAGACGGACCCTTTCTCCACCACTGAAACGCCAGTGAACACCACACACCATATCCCAGGTCTCAGAACACTGGCAATCTGCGCGCCACACGAGGGCGTCATGCCAGCTGGCCGGACTGACTACGCATGACACTGTCTCCCTCACCCTGAACCAGCCTGGGCTCCTGCAGGCACAGACAGGACGGCCACCTCCACGCCCCAGCATGACCCCAAACACGGAGCGTGAGCACGTCAGGTGTGCCGAGCGGCTGGACCCCGGCCTCCAGCCTCAGAGGGCTTAGGAAGCCTTCCTCCACAACCCAGCCCCATGCGCCTGAGCGTGTTCCCATGTCCTGTGCAGCTGTCGGAAATCCGAATGGGCCCACCGATGCACAGCAGATGCCAGGGATGTCCTGGCCAGAGCCACGCGGGCCACGGGGCTGCCCAGCACCGGCGAGCACGGCAGATGCCAGCGATGTCCTGGCCAGAGCCACGCGGGCCACGGGGCTGCCCAGCACCGGCGAGCACGGCAGATGCCAGCGATGTCCTGGCCAGAGCCACGCGGGCCACGGGGCTGCCCAGCACCGGCGAGCACGGCAGATGCCAGCGATGTCCTGGCCAGAGCCACGCGGGCCACGGGGCTGCCCAGCACCCCGGCCCACCTTGAAGCCCCGCTTCACAGCTTGGAGAATGATCTCCACCACGGTGGTGGTCTTCCCGGTGCCAGGCGGCCCGTGGATAATGGCCAGCTCCTTCTGGGACAGCGCGAACGAGACCGCTTCCTTCTGGGAGGCGTCCAGCGAGGTGTTGTAGAAGGTCAGCTCCTCTGCGGGAAAGGCACAGGGTCAGGCCAGGCTCTCCGCCTGGTGCGTCCTCCTCGAGGGAGCGCTGACGAGCACAGGAGGGGCTGGACCTCCCCGGGAGTCACCGATCAACACAAGGCAACCCGCTTGGTTCTCAAAAGATTTCCCTAGAATAGGAAGCGGCAGACTGCGGACCAGGCCGCGCCCCGCCTTCTGCCCCTTTCCCTGAGCCGGCCTCACCTGGCACCCCCCCACCACCTGCCTCTGCCTGCAGAGCCTGCAACGCGGACAAGCGGTCCCTCCACGGGGGAGCTCGTCAGCACATGCTCTGGGCTCTGGGACAGCACAGGCAGATGTTCCTGGAACACGTTTGTTTCTACCATGTTGTCCCTTTATATGCCCATAAAATGACCAAAGCAAAGGGCAAAAAAGGACTAGCAAATCCCAGGACCAGGTTTCTGCTCTGAATCTGTCACGAGCAGAGTGCTGTCTGCTCCCCATGCTCTGCGCCCGGAGACCAGGGGCTGCCGTCTGCCCCCCGTGCTCTGCGCCCGGAGACCAGGGGCTGCCGTCTGCCCCCCGTGCTCGGCGCCCGGAGACCAGGGGCTGCCGTCTGCCCCCCGTGCTCGGCGCCCGGAGACCAGGGGCTGCCGTCTGCCCCCCGTGCTCGGCGCCCGGAGACCAGGGGCTGCCGTCTGCCCCCCGTGCTCGGCGCCCGGAGACCAGGGGCTGCCGCCGGCTCCCCGTGCTCGGCGCCCGGAGACCAGGGGCTGCCGTCTGCCCCCCGTGCTCGGCGCCCGGAGACCAGGGGCTGCCGCCGGCTCCCCGTGCTCGGCGCCCGGAGACCAGGGGCTGCCGTCTGCTCCCCGTGCTCGGCGCCCGGAGACCAGGGGCTGCCGTCTGCTCCCCGTGCTCGGCGCCCGGAGACCAGGGGCTGCCGGCTCCCCGTGCTCTGCGCCTGGAGACCAGGGGCTGCTGTCTGGCTCCGCTGTCCCAGCATCCGCCCATAGTGCCGACTGCATGGGCTCGAGCTCACAGGCCCATGACCGGATCGGAACCAGTTAGACCGAAACAAACATGGAAAGTGCTGCCACCTGAGCCAACATGCCAGCACACTTCCCACCGCTCCACACCGCATCCCTTTCTCCTTAGGTATCAGCCATGATCAAGACACGGCATGTTCCTTCCGACAGGGTAAATGGTGTGTGTGTGCACGCGTGTTGTATGTGGGTGTGTAATAAAACTTCTAGACACGCTTCTGAGGCGAACCGAGTGCCAAGTTTCTGCGTGACCATCTCCGTTCACATGCTTCTGTCTTTCCCAGTTTCCCACGATGCACACGCCCCTCACCCTGTGCCCAGGATGCTGAGAGAATAGCCCAATGAGACTTCCAGAACAAAAACCCTGCTCTCGAGCAGAGGAGCAGGATCCTCCAAGAGGACGGGCTGTCACCTGTTTCCAGCGCCGGGGCTGGAGGCAACTCCACCTCGGAAGCGCCTGGGCTCAGGGAGAGCACTGAGCGTGAGCGGAAGGGCCCTTCTCCAACACCGAGCGCAGGCAGACAGCTCAGGCCACGCCTCACTCACAGGGACGTGCGCACGCTACGCTGGATTCTTCACCTCCCCAAACTTGACACAGTGGCCACAGTCACGTTACTCCCCACGCTTTCCGCAGCGACTTCCATCAGAAGAGAGAAGGCAGAGTTCTTACCTGTGTCACTGGCAGGACTGGGGGCTGAGTCACCGAAGAGAACCTCTATGAGGGAGAGCGCGGGGCCAGAATTGTACTTCTTTAGGGCGATCAGAGCTCTGCCCAGGGAGAAACGAAAATGAGGGGCTCGGTGAAAACCAGCCGGGAAGGCAGTGCCGGAGCCCCGGCCCCACGCTCCGCCTGCAGCCCCCTCTCCGGGCAGGGCGCATAGACAAGCCCTGTGGCCGTGCTCAGGCTGAGCGAGCCGAGTTCAAGGAAAAGGTTACATGTGATGTCCGGTCACATCCTTACTTTTTCAGTCGCTTGTAAGTGACATCATTGGCAAGTTTTAAGAGTCGGTAGGACTTCTCTCGGTCCAAGCTCAGCTGGAAATCACAGGACTGGTCAAAGGCCACTGTGACCGATTTCTGGGTGATCCGGGTCAGGATCCCTGTGGCCAGCTGCCCGCCTTCATCATTCAGACCCACAATATCGCCTGCAAAACAAAGACTCAGTTACTAAACACTGAATAGGGTTAAATGTGAATCATTTCGTACAACAAATTCCAACATATTTCAACCATCCTGCTATTGCCTTCAGAAGTGACATCAGTAGCAGTAAGAAAAATAAATGACAGACATCTAAATCATGAAAAGTGACATGAGATCGATGAACTGTTTAAAACAAACATGACCTCAGTAAAATATGTAAAGGGCCGGCTCCAGGTCAGGCCCTGTTCTGGGCACTGGTCTGGTTAGGAATCAAACCCAGAGATCTGTCAGATGTCAGTGGACGGCACTAGGAAGCATGAAGTCCAGGGAGGGGACAGAGAGAGACAGGGGTGCCATCTCAGAAAGATTGTAGGTAAAGGCCCGGGTGGTGACAGGTGAACAGGGGCCTCTGGATGAAGTGGGGGCCATGAGCACCTCTGGGGGAGACCAATGAAAGAGGGACAGTGTTTGCTGCCCACTCCGCAGGGATCTCCCCAAGTCCTGCGATAGCTGGTTCACCATCCGTCAGGGACGTGGAGTGCGTGGCCTGGGCCTGAGCCAGTCGGTGCTTTGTGTGGCTCTTAGCCACAGGAACTGTTCAGGGACGGGCCTGGGACCAAACCAGAGCCCCTGAGACACAGGAGCCTTTCGCTTGGGCACCCAGGAAAGAGGTCCTCACTCGATCCAGCTAAACCAGAACCCTGAGACGCAGGGGCCAGAACTGCTCCCATGGGTGTCTGAGAAGGAAGCCCACCAGAAGGGCGAAGCCCACCAGAAGGGCGAAGCCAGGAAATGGAGAGGAGCGCAGTTCGGACGGCCTCCTGCGAGCCGACACCAACCTTGCCGTAAGTTAGCACGACCGGCGCAACCCTTCTTGCCCAAACCAGTCTGGCTCGGGTTTTCTGTCACCTGAACATAGTCTGACCAAAACAGAGCCCACCCTGAGATAAGGGCAAGGCCACCCACACACGGACACCCTACTTATTCCATGTCTACCAGAGTGTGCCAGGCATCGACCAGACATGTTCTCAGTTTTTCTCGTAGGCAAGGACTTTCGTCTGCACTTTGAATCTTCCCGCTGCCTCCTCCCCCAACTTCTAAAGAGAAACATCAGGTGGCAACAGTGCTCCGAAGCAGAGATCAGCTTCCGTGCGCGTGGCCCACCATGGGGACCGCCCCGTGACTGCCCCACAAGTGCCAGACGAGGACCCTGAGCCTTAAAGCTGCTCCTCAGAGGAGAACGCACAACTCCACCTGAATTTACCCACAGCTGCGGCAACACAGCACATTGTCAGCTGGCTACTTTTCAGCACAAACGCCACTTCCTCTGACTTCCTGTTCATCAGCGAGCCTTCTGTCTCCTAGGTCATTCGCTCCACAGTGCTTATTAAGTGAATACACACTTTACCTTTGCGTTTCCAAGCCACCTGCATGACACTCAGCCCTGCTCATTAACCCTGAAAGGCACTGCTGTAACCCCCTTAGCCCTGGTCATGGCAACTGGCCCTGTGTAATCCAGTCTCTACCAAGCAAAATTCAGTTTGGGGTCAGTCATGTTCAGTTATGTGCCCACATCGGAAATGCACAGACCGGAAGAAAAGCTGTTACTGGGAAGCACCCCTGCAGACGCCCCTCTGCGGGGCTCGAAGGTGACCAGCAGCTGTCCATACAGCCCGGTCCGCTGACTGGACACCTGCAGCTTCAGCAAACAGACGCCTCGGCTCTGGAGTTCTTTCAGAGAGATGTCTTCCTGCCAGGACCTGGAAGACACCCAAGAGTAAACATCAACATTTGTACTTCACCAGTTTTTATTTCTGCCCACGCAGGAGAAATGTAAAAGGGAGAGAAAATAAAGATCTGGACACAGGCATCAAATACGAACCAGCAAAATTCTGGCTCTGCCCTTCTCAGACCTGCTCCTCCTGCCTCCCGGAGCACGGTTCACGACGCAGCCCTTCTCCTAGTCACCCGAGGCAGAACCTTCAGTCACCCTCACCTTCTGTACTCTCTCCTCCATCCTGGCTGAGTCACGGAGTCCTCTTGGGCCCTTCCCGTTTACACCCTGAATCCACCTCTGCCTCCTGCTCTCCCCTCCAGAGCCCTGACTCGGATTCAAGCCCACATCACTTACAGTCTGGATTAATCAGAGCCTCCTAACTGCCTAATGTCTGGGCTCTCGCCCTCCAGTTGCCAGTATCCTCCTAAAATGCAAATCTGTTCACCCCCTCCCCACCTGCTTGACTTCGGTGAGGGCCTTCCTCTGCACTAAAATATCACACAAGGTCCTCCAAGGCCCTTCGCAATCTGATGCCCGTTTGTCTTCTCACCGGTGCTAACTGCACCCGCTGCTGAGCTGAGCACTAGCCGTTCAGTAGAATGAATGGTCTCCCTGTCCCGTCTCACAAGGGCGGCAACGAAGCTTTGGAGACGTGACCTGCGAAGTGACACAGCCACGCACGGAGGAGCTGGGATTCCCCGAAAGCTCTGAACGGCCCTGATCAAAAACCTCTCGAACTAGTCCCAGCAACGTGTACAGTGCGACGGTGGCGTGCAAACGCCTCCCCGCTGGAGCCTTGCTCCCCCACCCTCCGCGGGTGGCTCCCCGGGTCGGGCGTTCCCCCGGTGCCCCGCAGCGGTTCCCACGCACGCAGCCGGGGCACCTGTCACTTGTCCCGCAGGAAGCGGCTGCGTCGGCTTCCACCTCCCCCTGCTGCTCATGCGCAGGGTCCCCGTGCCCACCGCTGTGGCCGGGCCTGGCACACAGCCGGGGAAGCGTTCGCGCGTGTCCGCGAGGGAGAGGGCTGAGCACCAGCCGGGAGTGGGGCCGGGGCAGAGGCGGGAGCTCGGCGGGAAGGTCAGGGAGGGAGACTTCAGGTAGAGACGCGAACGGGCGGCCTGAGGGTCCAGAGCCGGCGCGGTCCCCGCCTCTGCAGGTGGCCGAGCGCCTGGCGGGCCCGCCGGGTCTGAGCAGATCGGGGCCGGGACAACTGCCCGACCGACCCGAGGGCCGGGCCGGCGGCCGTACCTGCGCTCCTCGACCTCCGCGTCTCTCTCGAGCTCCAGCAGGTCCAGCTGCTTGGCCACGAAGCTCTCCACGGCCGCCGAGGCCATCGCCGCCGTGCGGCCCCGCTCGGAGCCGCCGAGGTCCGGCTGCCGCGCCGGGAGCTGTTCCCCGCCGGGCCCGGTGCGTCGACGCACCAGGCTCGCGCCGCTTCCGCTTCCGGCCCAGGTCGCAGGAAGATGGCGGCGGCCGTGGCGGCCTCGGCCCTGCCCATCGCCGCCGCGCGGCTGGTGTCCGCGTGCAGCCGCAGCATCCTCGGGCCGTGGGGGCCCGGAGCGGGTGAGACCCGGGCCGCGGGTGACGGGAGGAAGCGGGGCCTCCCGCGGCTCCGCCACGTGTGTGTCTGTGTCCGACCGATGCCTGCGGCGCCCGCCGCCTTTTCTGATGCGCTGAACGTAGCACCGGCTTCGGAGGCGGGAAACCTGGGTTCAGATCCCGGCTCCTCCAGTTAGTAGCTTAATCCTTGACGATTGCTCTTCAACTTCTGGATAGGCCCCTGTGCTGCTAGGGGAGCAGGCGGAGGTTCAGAGAGGTTAGGGCACTGGCCCAAGGTCACACAGGGCGGGGGGGGAGGAGGGATTCGGACGCTGGGTCCTGCTGCAAAACCTGTGCTCTGCCATTGCCCCAGGCTGGGCGCCTCCCGGAGCCCCGGGAGCCTCATCGTCCTCATCTGGAGTGCCCTGGGCTAATCTCACCATTCAGCAAAAACAGTAGCCGTATTGTAGTCATTGGGTTCCGAGGTTCCAAAAACGGTTATGTTCATCAAAAACATTTCTGCCTGGAAATGGTTGGAGAGTGTGTTTCATGCACAAGTATTTTATGGACGTTTTTAAACTGAGCTAAATGTCTATGTGACAGTATTAAAAGAATATCCTCTTTTTTGAGGTGCCATAACAGTGCCACGGTTATGTTACTTGTTTGTTTTTTGTTAACCCTCAGCCAAGGATATTTTTCCCATTCATTTTTAGCTGGGGGAAGGGAGAGAAACATCGATGTGTGAGCGAAATATCGTTTAGTTGCCTCCTGCGCCACCCCAACCAGGGCCGGGGAATCGAACCTGCAACCTAGATACGGGAATTGAACCCGAGACGCTCTCCCGGCTGAGCCACACCAGCCAGGGCTGTTTTGTTTTTTAACTAATTATCTTTCGTGTGTCTACTTGTCTTTCATATGATGTTGACATAAGAAATGCCCAAACCTTAAGTTAAAAAAAGAAATGTCCAAACTTGTAGAGACTTTTTAGAAGAATTCATTTGAGCCACGATGGCAATCGCAAGATCTCAGGTGCTCCGGAGAACAACATGTCACAGCTTCTCTGATGCAATTGGGATTGAGGAGGAAAGGCAGGGAGATTGCCTACGGGTGGGAGAAGCCAAGGCAGGAATTGTGTCATGAGATCCTGTGCTTTTTCAAGGGTGGTAACACCTTCCAGGAGTGTTACTTCTGGGTTTTTTTAATCCTCACCTGAGGGTATTGTTTTTCCCATTGTTTTTTTTTTTTTTTTTCAGATAGAGAAAGAGGGAGGGAAAGAAACATCTAGGTGAGATACATTGATTGGCTCTATTGGTTGCCTCCTGCACGATCCAACCTGGGGCTGGGAATCGAACCCAAAACTCTTTGATCCATGGGCTGGCGCTCTAACCACTGAGCCAAGGACTACTTCTGGCTTTCAAAGTGTGTTGACCTAGATGAACAGAAGCAATGGGCAGGGCTTGCTTAAGACCTTTCACTGAAGGAGTGATAGGCTGTCAAGGTGTGCTACCCACTATGACCTGCCCGGTGAGGAATTAATGATTTATTATAGCACTGTTTTTTCGTTCGTATGTAGAAATATACTGACATCTTTACAGATAAAACGGTATCTGATTGGCTTTAAACTAATTGCAGAGTTGGGCCAGAGGCCATGTAAATCAAACAAGATTGGTCCTGGGGGAGGATACTTGAGAGCTCAGGGCTCACAATACTGTTCACTGTTGCACACTGACATTTTCCATAATAAAACATGGGTTGAAGTAGGCAGGGAGGTTTTTGCAAGAGCAGTGGGACTCCCTCTATTCCGCTGACGTGGAACCACCTCTACAATGCCATGTTCCATTCCAGGCTCAACTTTTTGTTATGTTTTGTTTTTTCCTTTATTGATTTTGAGAGAGAGAGATAGAAACATCAAAGGGAGAGAACATCAATTGGCTGCCTCCTGCATGCCCCCCACTGGGGATCGGGCTCACAACCTGGGCAGGTGCCCTGACTGGGAATCGAACCAGCGACCTCTTGGTGCATGGGTCGATGCCCAGCCACTGAGCCACACTGGCCCGGTCAGGCTCAACTTTTTAAAGTGTAGTGAGTACAGAGAAGGTGAGAGAATTGGTGAGCAGACCAGCAGGACCTTGAAGAGTGAGTGAAGAAAACGGGATGGAAGGACACAGTCTTAGTCCTCAGATATAAAGGACTGTCCTATGGGAGACGAGGGAGCACATTTGTTCCCGGGGGGGGGGGGGGGGTAGTGTCCCAGGCTAAGCTAAGACCATAGGCAAGAGTTACAGGAAAGCAGATCGGGTACAAAAACTTCTCACCAAGCTTCTCACAGTGGGGTGGCTCCCAAGAGAGGTGCTGAGTGTCCAGTCACAGAGATTCCAGCAGAGACTTCGCTTGACAACTGGGCAGCACAGGTTTCATTCAGCATTCACTGAGTACCTGTTACATGTCCAACACTGGTCCAGGGTGGGGATACACCAATACTAAATACACAAGAACCCCTGCTTATAAGGGAGCTAGCTAGCATTCTAAGGGGGGTGCACAGAGAGACAGGAAGTTTTTTTAAATAGGCAAATGACACAGTATGTTAGAAGCTGATAAGTCTTGTGGAGAAAACCAAGTATGAGCTGGGAGGGAGGGGGTTGATTTCAAATAGGATGGCTGGGAAAGGCCTCTCTGCTAAGATGCTGTTTGCGTGGGAACCCAAAAGAAATGAGGGAATTAGCTTTGTAGGTACCTGGGGTGGGGAGGGGGTTCGGGGAAAGCAGTCGAGGCAGAGGGTACGCGCCTGGCATGTTCCAGGAATCGCAAGGAAGCCAGGGAGGCAGGTGCCAGTGAACAAGGGGAGTGTGTCGGAGGGCTGGGGTCGCACTGCCACCGCCCTGCAGGCCCTGGGAAGGGCTTTTGCTTTTTCCCTGCATGCAACAGGAACACTTGGGGACTGTCAGCAGTAGCGGTGTAGTGGCACGGCCCTGGCCGGTGGTTCAGTGAGCTGGATCTGTACCATCACTTCAGTCATGTGCCATTGGTCACAGAAACCAGCTCCATAAGAGGGGACCACACAGGGTGAGAATCCAAGGAGGCGGGGTCAACAGGGCCATCTTGAGGTCCCCCGCACTTGGCACAGACAAGGCAAGGGTGTGAGCTGACCAAGCACTTGGTCAAGGAGCGGGTGGGCGGACGCTGCGGGGTCGGGCCCTTTCAGGTGTGCTGAGTGAATCTCGATGCTGTGGCAATCGCTGATGACTAAGTGATGTTCTTTGAGCTTCGTTGGCCTTGGTTTTCTGTAGACAAGTCGTGATGTTGTTTGAAGCAATACGAGGTAACAGCCTTGCGTTTAGCATCGTCAGGGGCGGTTTGCACTTCACAGTAGTAACTACCCCTGTTCTCTTACCCCTCAGCCTCCCTGTGGCCTGCTTCTCGGAGATTCAGTTCGCAGAGCACTTCGCTTCCACGACAGTAAGATCAAAACGTGGGTTCTGGGGGCTCTTCCTCTCGCTTGTGGGACTGTCTGTCTGAAGTCACAACTGCACATGTTTCAGTTTTCAGGAACATTTCTATTTTCTTTAAAAGTTTTGGACAGTATTTTTCTCAGACCGTTGACATAAATTAATACAGACAGAACTCCAGGAGCCCAGAGAGAGGGTGTGCCCAGGCCTTCCTAGCGCCCTGCTGGCAAGGCGGAGTTTCAGCTCCCGGGAGGTTTTAACTGGAAGGTTGCGTCACAGGCGGTCGGATCACAGTCTCGAGGAACCCAGCGGATTGGGGAGAGCGTATTCAGTGTTAAAATTGCATATGCAGGGAAGAAACTTCTGTAAACTACAGGAGGCGAGAGTGACAACGGCCCCCTGGCTGGTGGGCGCACAGGCAGGAGCGGGACAGGGTGCGTTCCGCACGGGAAACCCTGCGCCCGGACCCGCCGCCGGGGCCAGAGCGAGGCTGCCCACCCGAGCTGCGCCTCTTCTCCGAGTGGAGCCTGCGTCTCCAGCCCGTGGAGTCTAGTGAGAACACCGAACTTTCCCCCTTTCGGGAGCGGGGCGGGGCCTGGCCGCCGCACCGCCAGCTGTGGGAAGGTCCAGGGGTTCACTGTTCGCAGAGGGGGACGTGGAAAAACAGTCAGGGTGTAAAGAGAAACCGCTAGTGGGCCTTGTGGCCAATTTGGCTCATTTTCACCTGTTTCCTCTGTGGGAGGCCTCAGCTGCCCACCGGGCCCGTTTGCCCATCTGTGTCCCTTTCACGGGCCGGCTGGGTCCTGCCAGAGCTCGTGTGTCTCGGGCCAGCCCGCTCCATGAGGGACACGCGGGTCTGTGCCGAGCACTGGCCGGGACCAGAGGAAAGAGAGCGTCTCACTCTCCGGTGGCGGACGGCAGCCGAAGCTTCACAGCGCTCTGAACGCTTTGACCTAGGGGTGCGGAGCTCCCCTTCCTGGTTTCAATCCTCGCCCAAGGTTCTGCTCTCTGACTTCAGCCATTGTTCCTGGAAGTGCATGCGGTCCTGAGAGGGTGTGTGGGGGCCTCAGATTTACTCCAGCGGGCTAGGTCCCTACCAGAGACCCAGCTTCACTGCGGTCCCGAGTCACAGGACACCCGCCAGCAGGGCCCCTCCAAGCACCTGGGCTCCTGTGAGCATCCAAGCTGTGACAAGTGACGTGGCAACCCTTGTCCTTCCTGGCACTTGCACACAGCCACGGTTTACGATTTTGAACTGCCTTTGCACACGTGTGTGACACGCATGTGCAAAATTTGCAAAATTGTTTTACAGATATGTTCCTAAAACCTCCCTGAGTTCACCACCGTGGCCAGAAGTCATCCTGCCAGACCCTGCTGAGGAGACCAGACACCATGCAGGTACGTGGCAGAGATGGGGCAGCACTCAGCCTGACCACAGGTGGCCACCGGCCGCAGAGCGAGGGCGCCACGGGTCCGTGCCGAGACCCGGCTCAGCGAGCGCCCGGCTTGTTTGCCGCTTAGCAGACTGCGGAGCCCGTTGGCTTATCGGCGACCCTGAGCACCTGCCGTGTCGAAGCAGGTGATGTGCGGGAGGGAAGCGCCCGTTCCGTCTCCCTGCTGTTGGTAAGACGTGGGCTCAGGGGAAGGTTTCTCCCCAAGAGGAGGAACGAGGTCACAACAGCCCGTGGATGCCGACTCCGGCCTGCGTGTTGGAGAAGCCGTCAGGGTGTCAGAAGGGTCTCCTGCAGAGGAGGGTGGTGTGTGGTCGCCGCAGCCACCGTGGCTGTGAGTGAGTGTGGGAGCCTCGGTTTTTCAAAAACGCTAGAAATCCAGGTTAATGCATGGAATCATCTAGTTTTAAAACGCTGTTTTAGAGACTTAGAGAAAAATAAGGTGCAGTCTAGGTCTCGCCCCTCGGCCCCACGCAGCCTCTGGTCGGACTGTCTCCAAGACAGGCCCTGTGCCGGCCCATCTCCTGCGCCCGGCCCCCGAGATGCGGTGGTCGGGGCTCAGCGGACACTGTTCAGACAGGACCGGTGCCGGATGGAGGGCTGTGCCCTGAGCGGAGGCAGTGACCGCAGAAACGGGAAGCAGGCAGCCTTGGGGAGGTGTCCAGGGAGGACGCAGCCCCTCGGGGTGTTCTGGGTTCCCTTGTTTGCAGAAAGGCCTCTCCTCCCTCTCAGGGTGCGCGCATCCCAGCGCTCCCTCTCGGGGTGCGCGCGCGCGTCCCAGCGCTCCCTCTCGGGGTGCGCGCGCGTCCCAGCGCTCCCTCTCGGGGTGCGCGCGCGTCCCAGCGCTCCCTCTCGGGGTGCGCGCGCGTCCCAGCTCTCCCTCTCGGGGTGCGCGCGCGTCCCAGCTCTCCCTCTCGGGGTGCGCGTCTCCCAGCTCTCCCTCTCGGGGTGCGCGCGCGTCCCAGCTCTCCCTCTCGGGGTGCGCGCGCGTCCCAGCTCTCCCTCTCGGGGTGCGCGCGCGTCCCAGCTCTCCCTCTCCGGGTGCGCGCGCGTCCCAGCTCTCCCTCTCCGGGTGCGCGCGCGTCCCAGCTCTCCCTCTCGGGGTGCGCGCGCCCCAGCTCTCCCTCTCGGGGTGCGCGCGCCCCAGCTCTCCCTCTCGGGGTGCGCGCGCCCCAGCTCTCCCTCTCCGGGTGCGCGCGCGTCCCAGCTCTCCCTCTCGGGGTGCGCGCGCCCCAGCTCTCCCTCTCGGGGTGCGCGCGCCCCAGCTCTCCCTCTCGGGGTGCGCGCGCCCCAGCTCTCCCTCTCGGGGTGCGCGCGCGTCCCAGCTCTCCCTCTTGGGATGCGCACGTCCCAGCTCTCCCCTCAGGGTGCGCGCGCGTCCCAGGCCCCAGCTCTTCATCAGTGATGACTGGGAAGCAGACGGGGTGGGCTCCACGCGGAGGGAGAGAACTGGGCCAGGCAGCCTGCTGGGGGGGGGGGGTCCTGTGCAGTCCGGGCAGCTTCCTGGGGAAAAGCCCACGTGCCCTGCATACAAGCGCCCGTGCTCCTGGGAACAGCAGGTGGACCCCGTGCCCGGGCGCCTGGCCAGCAGCTGTCCCCCTCACCCCACGGCCGCTGTCTGGCCTTTCCCCCACAGGGGTCGTGGAGAAGGTGAACGAGCTGATCGCCACGGGCCGGCACGGCAGGCTGTTTGCCGTGGTACACTTTGCCAGCCACCAGTGGAAGGTGACCTCCGAAGACCTAATTCTAATCGAAAATGAGTTAGACGTTGCGTGTGGAGAGAGGATTCGGTTGGAGAAGGTGAGACCGTCAGTTTCTTGGTGCATTCGGGGCTCAGTCACCAAATGTGCGGTCCCCGTTCCTGGGCCATCCGTGGAGAGGTTTCCTCGAGTCGGTGACTGCAAGCAAAAGCAAGGGACGGGCGCGAGTGGGGAAGCAGGCTGGCGGGCGCAGGCAGGCGAGGGACGTGCCTCCAAGGACGGGACCGTCAGCCGTGTCCATGACATCTCTCATCTCAGTAACCTAGTCCCACAGGACAAGACTCCCTCGCAGATGCAGTGAAAGTCCCAGTTGAGGATGTAGAGTTTTCAAGCCCATATTTTGGGGGGATGTCGAGTTTCAGCTAGAACACTCATCTGTCGCTCGGTTTCCTGGCCGCTCCCATTTCGAGGCGGTGAGGCCGGTCCCAGGCCCCCCTGGGCACTGGCCCCCTGACCGCTCAGAACTGCGTGCTCGGCCTGCCTTCCGCTCCGCCGCTGTTCGCTGTGTGCAGTCTGTCTGGTTTTTCTGCTCCGCATCTAACGAGACGTGAGCCCCGCGTCTATTTGTGTACGAGACGTGAGCCCCGCGTCTGTTTGTGTAAGAGACGTGAGCCCCGTGTCTGTTTGTGTACGAGACGTGAGCTCGCTGTGCTGGATCATGTTCCTGGGACGTACGTCACTGTTAACACAATGTGACTGGACATCAGATCTTATTCGTTGGAACTCCTCCGTCCTCTGTGATCGCAGAGGTTTTGCACATTGATTCTTTTTTTTTTTTTATCCTCACCCGAGGACATTTTCCCATTTTTTGTTTAGGTAGAGTGGGAGGGAGAGAGAGGAACAGAGAGAGAGAGAGAAGCATCGATGTGAAAGGAACACATCAAGTGGCTGCCACCCGCACGACCGACCAGGGCCGGGGACAAACTGCAACCGAGGTACATGCCCTTAGCGGGAACCGAACCCGGGTCTCTCTGGACCGCAGGCTGACGCTCTAACCGCTGAGCCAAACCGGCCAGGGCCATTGCACATTGATTCTTGCTAAGACCGTCTCGCAGCCTGAGACCCGAGCCGCCTCCTTAGCTCAGATGGGCGGCAGCGGCCAGCACGCTCCTCTCCCGCCGGCTGTCTGAGCTCAGGGCCGAGGGCCCGCCGACTCCTGTCCAGAGTGAACGCGCCTCGGGGTGCTTGCGGTTCTGAAAGGCACCATCGGGAAGCGTCACGTGAGCAGGCGCGGGCGGCAGGCCCATCTCGGGAGTGAGAGCGCGTGCTGGAAGTGACCGCATGGCCCGTCCGCGCCGACACCTGCCGTTCCTGGGCGTGGGAGTGGTCACGCGTGTGCTTGGTCTTTACACATTTAAGTTCAGCGCGATTGCATTTTTTTCTCACCAGTAAAATTTAAGACAGTCTTCCGACACCTAATAAAAGCGGTGTTGCACCCGGAAGGCGAGGGCGCCCCCCTGTGCCCACGACCCGCACACGGCCCCACCCTGAGCGCGTGGCAGCTTGGGTTCTGCTGCATCAGACCCGCCTGCGCCTCCGCAGGCCTGGCCCGGCTTCGGGGCACCGCTGTCCGATGCGTGTTGACTTCACTATGTTTTGTGTGGTATCTGTTGGGGTTGTTATTAGAAAGCCACCATTTTCCTAGGTGACCACATTAAGTCATCGATTTTGCCCGTCCTGCGCCTGGCAGCCCAGGCACGTCCACGGGGCACCTCGGTGGCCAGTGCTGCTTGAAGCCTGTTCAAAGCAACACTGTGCGTCAGCAGGTCACGTCCACAGCACAACTCCCGGCGACACCTCGGCGTCCAGTACGTTCGCGTCGCTCCCCGCGCTCGGTGACTTCTGTGTTGCTTGCGGGTAATGCCCTGTTTCATTTCCAGGTCCTGCTGGTTGGTGCTGACGACTTCACGTTGGTGGGCAAACCCCTGCTAGGGTAACGTGCTCTCCAGTGTGGGCGTGTGCGGGGCCGGGCGGGGGGCGTCCATCCCTCTGCCAGCACCAGACACGAGAGGCGTAGGCTTCGTGACAGTGGGTGCTCAGTGTCCCCGTGGGAGAACACCCGGCCTGGGCCACTGGCTATTCCTAACTCATTCGTGCCGGCCTTTAAGGTCAGTGGACAGAATGCACTCTTTATTGTGCTTCTTTGTAGCTTCAAAATGTCTACAGGGAGGGCGTTTGTTATTTTTATAATCAGTAAAAAAGAAAGTAGAAACTTCATTTTCGAAAACCTTATATAAGCCTCAGCCAGCGTGAGTGGGGATCGAGGAGGCTCACCACCTCGTCCTCCTCCAGGAAGGGTCTTGTCCGTGTCGAGGCCACTGTCATTGAAAAGACGGAATCGTGGCCGAAAGTCAACATGAAGTTCAAGAAAAGGAAGAACTACAGGAAGAAGAAAAGTACGTTGCAGAGAGTAGAGCTGCCCCCCCCCCCCCGTGGTCCCCCCCTGCTGGGCCTGATGGGGAGGGGCAGGCAGAGGCCCCTCCTAACCACACCAGGGGCTGAGACACCGACAGGGACCCACTGGACATCACAGGCCCCAAGGGGCAAGGGCTGCTCCAGGCTGGGACCCTGCACGCGGCAGAGCCCTGTGGGGAAATGTGGGTCACACAGAGCCCTTGCACACCAGGACCCACAGAGCCCTGTGGGGAAATTGGGTCACGCAGAGCCCTTGCACACCAGGACCCACAGAGCCCTGTGGGGAAATTGGGTCACGCAGAGCCCTTGCACACCAGGACCCACAGAGCCCTATGGGGAAATTGGGTCACGCAAAGCCCTGTGGGGAAATGTGGGTCACACAGAGCCCTTGCACACCAGGACCCACAGAGCCCTGTGGGGAAATTGGGTCACGCAGAGCCCTTGCACACCAGGAACTGCAGAGCCCTGTCGGAAAATGTGGGTCACACAGAACCCTGTCGGGAAATGTGGGTCGCGCAAAGCCCTGTGGGGAAATGTGGGTCGCGCAGAGCCCTGTGGGGAAATGTGGGTCGCGCAGAGCCCTTGCACACCAGGAACCGCTGGCCCGAGCTTCCGGTCGTGGGGAGTGCTCCCAGCACGCCTGAGACAGTAGCTTTGGCTTTACCTAGACTCAGGTCAGGAAGCCTCAAGGTCAGCCAGATGGGGCCTTGCACCCCCAAAGCAGGCACAGTGCAGGGAGAAAGGCTGTGGGTTGTAGCAGGGGCCCCCCTGGCCTCCAGGCCCCCAGGTGTCCCAGCTTCTGCAGCTCTGACCGGTCGCATACAGTGGGCTGTGGTCAGCACACACCAGTCGCTGGATGTGGCCAGAGGTTGTGGGAGAGGTGGGGCATGGTAGTGCCACCCGGGAGGGCTGCTTCAAGGCCGAGCCCCCCAGGAGAGCAGGTGTCAGGCGGCAGGGTCTCGGTGGCTGATTACAAGGTCAGAGTCTGTGGTCAAGCTGTGACCGAGTTCTCTCTCTCTCCCAGTTATTGTGAGCCCACAGACTGTCCTCCGGATAAACACCATCGAGATTGCTCCGTGTCTGTGCTGATCATGGAGCCAACGTTGACAGAAATACAAAAGTAAACTCGTTCTCCAGGGCGTCTGAGTTTCTGTGTTCTGTCGCTGCGGCCTGGCCCGCCGGGTCTGTGCACAGCGGTCTCCCGGAGCCAGACAGGCCGGGGCCGGGGAGGAGCACCAGCATGGCCCACCCCCGGCAGAGCGGTGCTGTGTAAGAGACAAGCGCGTTCCTGGACGCCTTCCACCCCCCGCGCAGCACGGAGGGACCCTTTGGGAGGAGCAGCTGGGACCCGGGAGCTGACACCGAGAGACACAACCCGGATTTCTCTTCTGGGCGAGATGGACAAACACATGAGCTGCTTCCATCTCCGAGTGGTCCAGTGTACCTGTTTGCAGTGGTTTGCTTTTTAAAAAGTCGGGATGAAACCAGGCAGTCCAGGTCCAGCTGGGGGAAGGTCATGCTGGTGCAGGGGTGGCTCTCTGGCCACGGGAGGGGCCACGCGGTCCTTGGGGCTTGAGAGCCAGTGCTGAGAAGCAGCAGGGGCCGCAGGAGGTTTGAACTGGTCCTGAAGGCAGCCACTTGTCCAGGAAGGTTTGGGCGTTCACCCCGGAAAGAAGGGACAGGTCCTGAACCCAGAGTGGCCCAGGGAATGGAGGGGAGGACTTTGGGAGCACGTGGGGGGAGGAAGGGACTCGGGCGTCTAGGCCTGGCTCTGTGTCTCCCTCCAAGAGGGGCTTTCAAGTGACACAGCACAGTACACACTTTCTTGGCAAGATTCCTTCAGGGGGCCCTTGGGGGTTGCTACTGTGCCGTGGAGATCAGAAATGGAGACAGCATTGACCTGGAAGGCCTCTCCCTTCTCTCCTGTCTTTCTGCCCCGACCCCCCACTTCAGGCCTGGCTGGTGGGATGCTGGCAGTGCCCTCCGTGGACAGCAGGGGGCGGCAGGCTTGCAGGAGGAGGCCCTAGAGCCCTTGTTTCCTGGCCGGGAGGTGGGCCCTCTGATGCTGCCCTGGGGGAGTGTGTGCCCTCGCTCACAGCCCCGGCCTGGCCTCTGGTTCCCGCTGCCAGCCTGGCGCGCGTCCTGTGATGATCCCTGTGCAAGTGGTAAATGTTTGGGACGGAACAAACCTCCCACGTTCTTCGACTTAACACTCGTGTGCATGACAGGAGAGATTCTGCAGGGCAGCTCGTGGGGGCTCCGCAGCCACGCAGGCCAGCAGCCCTCTGTGGTCTTGGCCTGGTCACCAAGCCCTGGGCCTCCGCTTCCTCGTCCGTCAAACAGGAGCAGAGCGTGCGTGGTCAGCACTCACGCGTGTCACCCAGAGGGGCTCCGCCTGTGCTCCGGAGCCTGGCGCCGTGCCTGCGAAGCATCCGTGCGGGGCCGAGCCGCCAGCGCTCACACCTTCTGAGACCGGACTGGCACCGTCCACAGGAAGGCAGGACGAGCGCCGGTGTCCGGAGGAGCGGAGCCTCGGAAACACGCTTGCCGAGAGCCAGGCCAAGCGACAGTGTGTGGTTCTCCTTCCGTGGACCGTCCCGGGGGGCAAACTCGTAGAGTAGGTGCAAGTTCGGGGGGGGGGGGGGCTGCTTCCCTGGTGCAGGGTTTCTGTGCGCGGTCCAGGGAGAGCAGGATTGGTGACGGGGCACAGCGTTCGTGTCACTGAATTGTCACAAGTGGTTAAAATGGTAAGGTTTATGGCACGTGTATTTTACCACGATTTTTAGAAAAGAAAAATGGCCAGGTTGATGACATCCCTTAGGTAGGGGAAAGCAAGACCAGATTCGCGTCGGCACCAGGGTGAAGGTTCCCTCGCGGGTCCTTGCCGCCGCCGTTCTGGGCAGGGGTCCCGGACTGCAGGTCCCCTCTGACTCGGCAGGTGCTCCGACCACACCGGCACTCGCCGAACCTCCGGGCCGCCTGCTGGGCTCGCCAGGCCAGGGGTGTCCCTTCCCTTCTCCACAGAAACGCCGAGCTGCTCGGTCAGCAGTGCGGGCTCCCCGGGGGTCCCCGGCTAGCTGCCGACCTGTCAGCACCCACAGGGCTGCCCACAGCCTTCAGCCGGCTTCTCCCCTGGGCTGGGCCCGAGCTCGGGCCACGCCACACAGAGCCTCTCTGGCGAGCCCGGCGTGTGCCGAGAGAGCCGTGGGGACAGAAGGACCATGTGAAGGGGACACTGGGACCCTGGACAGCCAGGGACCAGGCACGAGAGCTGGGAGTCAGACTGTCACCAGGGCCCCTAGCTCGGATGGGGCTGCCCAGGAGGGCGCGCCCCGGTCACTCGGCTCCCTGTCTGTCCGGTTTCTCGCCTGCCTCCCCCCTGGGCCGCCAGCTGCCGGGGGGCGCGGGGACCCGCGTGTTCACTAACGTGGACGTAGGCGCCATGAACCGCCAGCCCTGGCCCAGCAGGCCGCACTGAGCGTCTCCGTCAGAACCCCTAGTTCCACGCTGCCGGTGACCACGGTGGGTCCCTGGGCAGGGCAGCGGCGGCTGGGTCCATGCAGTGCCCGCCTCTGCGGCGTCCTGGGAGGAGGGGCGGGGAGCCTGCCCGGTGGTGTCGCAGGGGTTTTGTGGAAGAGATGGAGCCACCCGAGTCTCCCAGACCACAGGAGCAGGACTCTGAGCGCACGGGGCAGGTCGCCGCCTCCGCTGCAGCAGGGCTCGGACGTGCAGCGACCCCCGGGGCGCGCGGGCCGCGTCCTGCCTGTGCTTCCCTGCAGCACCTGCACACCCGGGCCCAGACTCCGGGCAGCCCGCGTGGGCGAGATGAGCCTGCGCACCTGGGGGCCGGCGCCCTCTGACCCGCCTCCGTGCAGGAGGCTCACGGGGACTGGCCGGCCATTCCTGGGTCTGCGCCGGGCTCACAGGTGCCAGGCTCTGGCCCTGCTCCCAGACCCTAGTGAGTCTGGGGCTGGCAGAACCTGGCACGCGTCTCCAGGAATGACTGCAGGGGAACAAAGCTCACTTCATGGAGGGGCCATCTTAAAGTAGTGACATTTCACCCTGGCCGGTTTGGCTCAGCGGTTGGAGCATCAGCCCAAGGACCAATGAGTCGCGGGTTCGATTCCAGTCAAGGGCAGGTACCTCGGTTGTGGTTCATCCCCGGCGCTGGTCGGGTCATGCGGGAGGCAACCAGTCGATGTGGCTCTGTCACATTCATGTTTCTCTCTGTCCCTGTCTCTCCCTCTCCCACTCTATCTAATGATAAATAGAAAAATATCCTCGGGTAAGGAATAAAAAAAAAATGAAAGAAGAAAAAAAAGTAGTTACACTTCATGGGAGCTGCTGGAGCCGGCACAGCAGGGGCCCCCTGCCTGCTGAGGTCCCGGCGGGGCCAGGACAAGGACAGGGATGACGCGCTGAGTGTGCGCCCTGCGCAGGGCCCGTCCAACCTCCACCAGCCCTGACAGGCACGTGGGGGGAGGAGCTTCCTGGAAAGTCCCCTCCGGGGGAGCTGATGGTGAGTTCCCGCTGGGCAGGTCCAGGTGGGCATCACGCTCCAGGCCTCTAGCCTCATCCGTGGAAGTTTTAATCCTCACCCAACGATGTTTTTCCATTGTTGTTGGGTTTGTTTGTTTTTTAAGATAGAGGGGGGGGAGAGAGAGAGACACATTGTGAGAGAGACACACTGGTTGCCTCCCGCACGACCCCGACTGGGGCCAAGATGGAACCCGAAACCGAGGTGCGTGCCCTCGACTGGGAATCAAACCCATGACTTCGGTTTGCAGGGCGACGCTCTAACCGCCGAGCCACGCCGGCCAGGGCTTCAGGGAGCGGCTTTAAGCCAGCCCTGCCCGTTGTCCTAGTGCATCTAGGGTAACGCGCCTTTGAAGCCAGAACGCCCCTGGAAGGCCCGGCCACTCTCGAGAGCACAGAACGCCCCGACCCAGTCCCAGCCTTGCTTCCTCCACCCTTCCCGACGTCCATCCGCCATCTCAGCGCTGAGAGGCTGCAAAGCTGTTCTCCGCCGGAGCGTGTGAGCTGCTCGCTGACAGGTGTCATCAGCTGGGCTCAAATAAACTCACTAAAGTTGTCTCCAAGTCGGGGCATCTCTCACGTCGGCAGGCAGGTGGGTTTTCACGCATTTCGCACACGAAGAGACGGAACCGCGGAGAGGCTGTGACCGTCAGGGATGTCGGCCCCGCCAGACCTCACGGTGCTGCCACCAACCGACCCCTGCTTCTCTGGGGCTTGACGCAGAGTTTCTCCCTCGCTCCCGCGGAACCTGAGCAGACTGGACTGTGGTTTCAATCCCGAACTAGTGCGGTGCTGGGAGGCACTGTTCTGCTGGGTGCCGGGCAGAGGAGCCAGTGTGCACAGGGGAGCCAGCCCAGCCAGTCCCCCATTTCTGACGGTCTGGGGTGGGAGCCCTGGTACTTCTTGGGTGGCCAGAGCTGAGAAGCTTGGGTGCAGTCTCCCCTCTTAACTGATGGGGGTGCTTCTCAAGGCTGAAGATTTTGGACAGATAAGGAATAAGGGGACCTCTGCAGACCCCTGCACTTCTTCCCCACAATCTCTCTGTGCACGGCGAGGCTGGACCCCACCTCTGCCACTTACTCCTTCCGTGACCCTGAGAAGTTCATGCCCCGGGCCTCAGTGTCCTTGTCTTGGAAGTGGGGCACTGACGGACCCACCATGCCTTGGCCGGGTGGGCGTGCAGGGGCGCACGTCATGGTCACGGCCGTGGCTGATTGTTAACATGTAGCCCTACGGCACACTGACCTCTCCTGCCTTCCAGAAAACTCTTCTCCCAGGACGATGCGACGCATAGAAAAGGAAACTCCTGACTTCCTCCCCTTGCAGAGAAGACTCATTAACTGTCCCACGCAAACCTCGAAGTTAAAAGGGACATGCCATCTGCTAAGGAATGTTTTCCCTGAGAAAACTTGCCACCTCGGAAAAGAACCCCGTCCTTCCGGAGGCCCGGCCTGAGGCCGAGTCTGGAGGCCAAGGTGCCTGTCCCCTGCGGTCCCTCCGTGCAGGCCCGGCCCACTGGGCAGCTGCGGGCCTTCGGAGCCCGGCGCACGAAAGGGATCGCCCCGGCTTGGAAGTCTCTCCCCCGGAGTGTCCCACTT